TATCTATCTATCTATCTATCTATCTATCTATCTATCTATCTATCTATATATCTATATATATATATATATATATATATATAAATTACACTACCCACCATACAAGATCTTATGAGCCAGAAAGGAAGGGAAATGGAGACAGAATATGCATTAGGACTTGTAAAACTGTTTAAATTTCATTTTGTCCTGAGAGTGTTTCAGAGGTTAAAAAAATCTCAAGATAAGACAGGAATATCATTTTGCTGTGTTAAAGACAACTATTAGTCATGTCCTGAGCAAATAGGGATTTATGACTCAGACATAATTCTTCCAAATATGCCAGCTGTTCATAAAAGGCAGAGATATATGACTCAAAAATAACATTGAGACAGGAATAATTTTACACTTCACTTTGCAACGTTGACTTGCCTCCAGAATATATGGCAAAATCTCCATGCTTTATGAATAGGTTTCTGTCAAGACTGCGGATTTACAGCTCACACTTCTAAATCAAGTGAATCTCTTAAATAAGAGAGAGATCAGCACAGATAGGGAGGAAAGGCATGTATAATACATGATCATTATTTCAAGTATCTGAGTACGCCTCATAGTTTGAGGAAGATGACGTGGCCCTTGCAAATTGGCTAAGTTGCCCTTTTGTTGCCAGGTGCAAATGCCAGGTGCAGAGCATCAGAGAGTTTAGAGTCTTTTAAGTTCAGATAACTGAGCCAGTTTGGTATAGTGGTTAAGGCATCAAGCTAGAACAGGGGTGTCAAACTCAATTTCATTGAGGGCCACATCATGGTTGTGTTTGACCTCAGGGGGTCAGGGGGCCAGGCCAGGATGGGTGTGGCCAACTCAACATCACTCGTGTTGGAAACACCCGTGATGGCCTTAGCGCTCTGCTAGAAAAAATGGAGCTCCATTTTCACTGGCAGAGATACCACGGGCTGGTCCTTTGCTGTTTCCAAGGTGGCCCTGCTGTTTCCAAGGGCCAGATCTAAGTATCCTGTGGGCCGGATCTGGCCTGCAGGCCTTGGCTTTGAAACTCCTGAGCTAGAAAACGAGAGGCCATGAGTTCTGATCCTTCCTTAGGTAAAAAAAAAGGCAACTGGAAAGTACTGGGAGGCAATGGCCAATCGCTTCTGAAAAACCTTGCCAATCAAATTGCAGTGATTATTAGTCTGGGAAGATATCAGGTGTCCACATGAATGTATGTGGTGCTGCGATTTTAAACCGTTAAACCGTTTTTTTTTTCTCTTTGTTGTAAGCCGCCCGGAGTCCTTCGGGATTGGGCGGCATATAAATTTTATAAATTAAATTAAATTAACATAGACTTGAATGCAAAAAATAATGCAGCTTACTCAAATGAGAGATATCTACTGTCTTTAATTC